GAAAATATTGTCCTTCTTTATATTTGTACGTGAATTTTCAACAAGTGATAGCTTCCATCAGTGAACTAAAGTTCTATTCTGAGACTTTTAGATATTGACAAGCTTTATTAATAATAATAAATTCATACATTGGTTTTTACATGAATATAAATGACGACAGTTAATTGAAATGAACGCAGCATATGCTAGCAGGAATCTTATGCACTGCTTAAAATTATCTTACGTGGGAACCTTTTTAGGTGCCCACCTTCAATTTCAATAATTTATATGTCGATCGACAGAGTATAGGGAGCTCGTAAAAATCCTAAAAAGATTTGGGCTCTTTTTGCTTCTTCCAAAAGATATGGAAGTTTTTCTCTTTTTTCATAGTGAAACAGGAAAAAATTAAAAATTTGATAACTCTCTCAAGAAAAGGAATTAAGGATTCAAATCTTTTTCTGTGACTCTTCTATATGTCTCTGATATTCATACAAAGTTTCAGCTTTTCAATTGGTTCCGTTCCAGAGTTATAAGACTTTTGAGTTTTTCAAGGATTTGCTGTTGGATACGCTCACAATGAAAGAGCTATAAAATCGTCGGTTCTTTACAAAAACTGCTGAAAATTTCAGAACTGAGATAGTTTTGACTGATGCACACACTGAATAATTGAACATTATATTATTTTGATGTTCCGAAACTCCGGTTTTCAAGGAGGTTTCTGGAGACCTATAACCCACGATCGGCTTGAAGCTACTTTTTCTGTTTTCAAAAGAGAAATAAAACATAAAAAACTATTACAGCAGTTTTTGTAAAGAACTGACGATTTTATAGCTCTTTCATTGTGAGCCTATCCAATAGCAAATCCTTGGAAAACTCAAAGGTTTTATAACTCCGGAACGGAACCAATTGAAAAGCTGAAACTTTCTATGAATATCAGAGACATATAGAAGAACCACAGAAAAAGATTTGAATTTGGTTGAATAGAACATCGAAAGTTACATCTAGTGACATGTTTTTTTATCTTCATTAGTTCATATTAGTAGAAGAAAAATGTCTTTTTCGATACATAATATCTATTTTCCAGTCAGTTTTACAATATCAAAAATTCTTTTTCTCTACTAATGTGAACTGATGAAGATAAAAAGAACATGTCACTAGATGTAACTTTCGATGCTCTATTCAACCATGTGTAAATTATTGCATTTGATGATTGATGTGCCAAAACTAAGATAAAAAACCAGTGGGAAACCGACCTCAAATACAGTGCTTGTCGTAAAACGTGTGTAAAATCATAAAAAGACATAGCCAGTAGCTTGCTAACGTCTCATTTTGTAGGAAAATGTTTGCTCTACATCCGTAATGGCTCAAAAAAATCTTGTATGTCCAGATCTTTTGACATTTGTATCAAAGTTTAAAAAAGTAAGAAAATGGTGAAACCGTTACTTATCTCCAATATTTGATATAAAAGTACATCATACCCGTGTTTTAAAATGTTCTATTATATATGAATCGATGCAGGATTGTCTGCTCTACAAAATGAAGCTAGATTTATTTTAAGACTGCCATATGCGTGATCCGCTTTTAAAAAATACTGGAAAAAATGCATATCTTAAAATATAAAATTTTTAGTTTTCTATTATTTAGTCCTAGATAGTTAAACATATTATTATGTCTAAATATACGATCTTATAGAGTAAACATCGCTTTTTCAAATCAGCCATAAACCAGTCATAGGAGTTTCATAGTTTTTGAGAAAATCAAAATACGAAGATTATTAAAAATTCACGTTTTTTCGATTAATCGGCTGTTTTGTCTCTAGTCTCTGAACAAAACACTTTCAGAAAGAGTTATTGCAGGGCTAGTGGTCATTTTGAATGCTCTTTCGAATGACATATGAATAATTAAAAAAAGAAATTTCCCAGTGGACAGTATGTTCGATACGGTGGTACCTAGGTTGATTTTCTCGCGAAGGCTCTCTTAATAAGTTTGCTCTAGGATCATAGCAATATTCAAGTAAGTTTCTCACTAGAGAAACTCACCAAATGTATTGTCTCCTGTGCTAAATTTTCTCGTTCATTGCTCAAAACTTCGCAAGACACATAAAATTTTCTTCTTTTGGGACATTGCCACTGTTTAAGTGGCTGAATAAATAATTGAATAGTGGATTAATAGCACTGCTATACAGTTGAATTAAATTTTGTCATGCACTATGTTCTAAAATCTTACGTTTTCTAACCAACAAAAAATGCTTCATTCTGATAAGGTAACGCTATAAGCCATTTTCCAGTTATATTTCGAAAGCAACTACATTACGATCTTGTTAGTCGAACGAAAAGGGGATACGATACATTTCAATTTATTTTAAGCACTTTGACTGTTATTTTTCGTTTTAAGTTAAAACTTTGAAAAACATTTAGAGAAACGTTCTCCACCAGTTAAATCTTTGCATCACCACCATAAAATATCTGTTTCAAAAATATTGTTTATTGAACAATATTTTTCTAGATCAGATAGATAATCTGCCATATTATATTTCGTATACCGATATCAAGTGAGCATAATTAACATAATCACTGCATATTTTTAGGCACGACTCGCTCATTGACTCATTTTGTCTATTTAGGAATATGAAATGATATAAGTAAGAAATGTTTCAATAACTGTGAATAGCATGGAACGTGAAATGATTCAATATCGTATATAATGTATATAAAAGAACGTTGAGTACATGAATCGGTAAACTTTATTTTTCGTTTTGACAACATCGTTGGTACAATTAAATACATTTCCTTACACAATATCCGTAAATAACTCCAATTGTTCTAAAATATTCTCTAAATATTTCTCCAATCGTTAATGCTTGAATATATTCGATATTATATCGTCTATATAAATGAGCGGCGAATCGCGCTGAATCACATCGATATTTAATAAACATTGTTAGAAATGATTGAATTGAATTGTAACCCGCTTCTTTTAAATCATCTGCTTGTTGCATACTAACACCTGGTATAGAACAGACACATCGATCACCCAGTGCTTGAGTAAAAAAATGTAAAATAATACGACGAATATTTGGATTCCAACGAAATCGAATAGAGTGTTCACGACGGGTTGTTCTCTCTTGAATCATGTCTTCAGTGAATGAAGAAGACTTTGATTTAAATACGGCTATTTTTGATGTTTGCATGGACGCTAGTATAATTAATGTATTATGAGCTAGAGCTGGTGAACCTGAGACAAAAAGAGAAATTTGAACGATAGGAATACAATAGGCACGAACAAAAAGCTTTAATTTATATGATAAAACGAATAAAATAAAACGCCCGTAAGGAAACTTCCATCTGAAATGTTTCCCAAATTTGCAAATGTGTGAACGTTCTTCGTACTCGACAGCTATAATTCTATTAAATCCTTGTTTATACGTACTAAATGATCGAAACATTCATGGAGAATGCTAGTATTATACTTGTTTGTTTGAATTGAGAAAAAAAAGATAAGTCAATGACGTTTAAATAAAAACGGATACATTAGACAATTATTATTGATTCGAATCGAAATATAAAGCGTTTTTTCTAAAAAAATCATAAAAAATTGCATGCAAGAAACTTCGTTATATTTCGATTTTTTTCGTTTTGTTGTTGTCACCATGCAAACCAGTGACGAAATAAAGAATGAACAAGAATTCAGAAAAATACATATTTTTGACACCATTGCTACATCAACATGAACTTCAATTAGTTTTCGCACAACTTCTTAATGAATTTAGGCTAGTTTACCTGATTTTCCAAGTTAATCGAGTCTTATATTTGCTGTAAATTCACTTATAGGAGTATGGGCTTCTGTCTTTAGGAATCACCTTGTGAGTAGCACTCTACTTTGTACTAGGCCGCCAGTAATCTTCTATTATTGCTCATTAAATGTTTATCTGGTATAGTCTTCTATTCTGTGGAAGCGGAGAAGCGTACTTTACGATATTATACGACGGCATTAGTTCCATTCAAAAGACAATAATACTATGACAAATGTCTTTAGTTCTAGTCTTATTGTGATAGGAATCAAATGAATTATTCGTTTAATACCGACAATCGTGCTGAATCAACTTGATTTGAATCATGGCCAGCTTCAATGTAATCTAAAACAAGAAATGATTGCTTAGCTGAGTACTAATTGTCGATGAGGAGATACGTAGTTTACCATTTTCGAGTGCCGCCAGATTTTCCCTAGCTTCTTTAAATTCACCTTCTTCCATGCCCTCACCAACATACCAGTGTACAAAAGATCGTTTGGCATACATTAAATCAAATTTATAATCAATACGAGCCCATGCTTCGACAAGAGCCGTTGAATTTGATAAACCAACTGCTGATCTTTGAACAGGTGCTAGATCACCACCGGGAACAAAAATGGGTGGACTAGCTGTATAACCAATTTTGAAACCAGTTGGACACCTAAAAGAAACCAATACAAGACTAACAAGAATTCTTCAGCTGCGATCATTACATACCAATCGGCGAATGTAATTCGTCTATCATTCTTTAACTTCTGTATAGTGGTATTTACGTCTGGTTGATTAACTGGACCCCGGTAGATGACTGCGGTTGCCATATATTTACCGTTCGTCGGATTTACTTTAACCATTTGATTGTGAGGATGAAAAAGTTCTTGAGTAAGTGCCATTGTATCATTTTGTTCATGATACGTTTTTTCTGCTGAACGTATAGGCGCATAGGAAACCAAAGGAAAATGGATTCGTGGAAATGGAACTAAATTTGTTTGAAATTCGATAAAATCTGCCGTATATCCATCTGTAAATCGACTTCCGGCCGTAATATTTGAAATGACTTGAGCTATAAGACGATTAATACTGACAAAACTTGGCTTTTTGATATCGAGTGATCGAGTACAAATATCCCACAATGCTTCGTTGTCAACAATAAATACACAATCAGAATATTCCAGACCCATGTGAGTGTTCAAAACCGTATTGTATGGTTCAACAATAACGGTAGATATCTTCGGAGAAGGAAATACGGCAAATTCTAATTTTGACTTCTTGCTATATTCCGTAGATAAACGTTCACTCAAAAGAGAAGCGAATCCAGAGCCAGTTCCTAGAAGAATTAGGAGAAAGGTTAAATTGAGATTGAAACATTCGATTTTTCTTGTGCTAATTTCTGTTACCCTGTTAAAATGACTAAGTTTTCAAATAATCTCGATATATGTTAACTGTTAGCGCGAACGATAAGGAAGATAATGAAGAACATCAATCGAAGGAGCACCAATGATAGAATAAGTTGCAGTTGAAATTTTACAAATAATTTACTACAATAGATGCTCATCTCAGTTTGATAACAAATAAAAAAATTTGAGTTTGGCCAAACGGGGTCAATAAGCGAGAAAGACACTATGCTAAGATAAAATTTTTTGTAAAGTGAGTTTCAGCGTAGGATTCAGCCAGAGAAAACGAAGAGAGTGTGGACATTATTTTTGCTTGCGTCATTTACACATGTATCGACGCTATTTTCATTTGACTATAAATTTTGTAGTGTTTCACTTGCTGTTAAATTCACCGTAACGGTTACAAAATATACAGTTGTTCCTCGAAGTAGATGGATCCTAACTAAAATTATTCGACGAGTTGAGAATAAAACCTAATTTTTTTGATGTAAAATATGGAAATTTCGACGCTCCATTCAGCTAGTGATGAGAAGAGAGTGCTTCAATGTTTGTAGTAATTTTAGAATATTCGACTAGAAGAGTCCTCAAAATGCTAAAACTCACAAATTATGACAGAAGAAAAAACACGTTCAGAATAACATTCCCAGAGGACAATTGGAGATTTTAACATACGTTTGCTATTACTACCGAATGCATATAGTCTCGACATTCTCATCATGTAATGGTGAGCGGATCTATGGGAAAATGCCCACTAGTACACAGAAAAACGAAAAAAAAAATTCTCAGAAGGGCAAATCATATACAAAAATGGTGATCGATATACTCGAGATCTGAAATATGATTTATTCAATAGAATCGGTGTGTATGTTTCATCAAGAGAACACAGGTTAGAGAGTTTAAAATGGTAAAATATTAGGTATCAAGATTTTCAATAGTGATAAAAAATGCAATGATAAGTATAAGATTAATTATCAAAAGGTAGAAATTATTTCGTAATTTATACTGTGAAAACTATTTTTTGATTTATATTTAATAGTTTTATTAAGTAGTACAATATGTGTGGATGATTGTCTACTCTTCGAGGAAAAAATTTATTCTATTAACTAACGAAAAATATAATTTACCTCCTCCAAAACTATGAAATACAATGAAACCTTGTAGTGATTGAGATTGATCGGCTAATAATCGAATTTGATTCATAACATGATTAATCAACTCATATCCGATTGTGTAATATCCTCTTGCATAATTACTCGCTGCATCTTCTTTACCCGAAATCAATTTGTCTGGATGAAATAATTGACGATAGGTACCTGTACGAACTTCATCAATAACAGTTGGTTCCAAATCGATATACAACATACGCGGCGTATATTTATGACCAACATCTTCGAAAAATGTTAGCATTGAATTATCAGATTTACACTCCATATCATAAGCCAATGTACCATCAGGGCGAATACCATGTTCAAGACAAAATAATTCCCAACATGCATGACCTAAAGAGATACATACAGCAAAAAGATATGTCATTCAAAGCAGAATATTTCATTTTGAATTACTGAATATAATAGCACATAAAACAAATAGGTATGACAAATGCGGGATGAATGAGCTAACGAAAGGTAAATACATATATGTGTGCGTATGTGTGGAAAAAACCAATGTTGTCAGTCAAATAATTAAAAATGGAAGTAACAGAAGATAATAGTGATTTGCATTTAAGCATCATCAAGAGTATCGTTTACTCAATATCTCAAAAAATGAGGTATTCTGTCACTAAATATCATGTTTTCGAACAACGACATTATAGTGAATTAGTTGTTTGTATTTTACCCCCCGCCCTGCCTTTCCCAATTAGAAAACACTTTTTGAATGTTACAATCCGTAGCCTAAAAGATTCATACCAATTTGACAACCAGCTTGTCCTACATGAAGACAAATAATTTCTTTCATTCTTTAATATTCTCTTTTTATAACTTCTCTAAACAAACAACAATAACATGTTTAACAGAATATGTAAACAAAACATAAATACAAAAAAAATCAACGAAGTTAACTTTACAGAAAGATTCATCGTTGCTATGGCTTTGTTATTATTTCTTTAGGCATTTCTTATTTTTGTAGGTTTGGAAGTTCTCACAGTGAACGCTCAACAAAAGTCTCAAAAGTTATGTACAAATTTACTCATATAACTATTATTGACATTATTTAGTATTATAGCCTACAGTCGACTTCATTCCCTTAGAATGGAAATTCCTACGCATCATCTTTATTTTACATAAACCTCAAAATGATCCAGAACATCCGCATTCATATTGATATGAGAGTCGGTTTAGCTGTCTTGGAAAACTCATTAAGCGAATAGATGATTATTGAAAAATGATTATTGAATTTTATCCAAAAACGATGATGTTAGACTAGATTTCGATCCAAACGGTGTTGGAGTCCCGAACGTTTTATTTAAGCTTAAAAACACTAAAAAAATTCCTAATTATTTGTGGATTTGAATTGAACTTTTTTTGTGAGATTGTATCGCGAATATTGATTACAGAAGCTCTTGGTGTCTGCTTCTACCGAAAAATAGCACTTAACAAACATTCAGAAGAGATCAGGAAGATACAATCTAAATGGCAAGAAACTCTTCGATACATATGAAGAAACGTAGACGAAAAGCGCTTAACTATACAAGTATGTAGTGCGTTTTGCTCTATCATGCCCTTTACTCCCCGTCTGACTCACCGCTGATCAAATACATTGGGGAATATTTCTCTCAAAAGTGCACTAAACTTTAAATCAACTTTATTCCTCATGCTCAGTTTTTTTCGAAAAACATTGCTCAAAAAAAGATTTTTTTTATGTTTTTTTCTATCAAATATCTGCATGTTAATGCAACGGAAAATCAACATCAATGCATGATCTAGAATCGTTAATCTGTACGATCTTCGACGGTGAAGCATTAGGTTTCAACCTCTTTTTCCTACACTAAAAGATTACACAATGAGGGATCGTTTTGGATTTTTATTAATTTTGAACAAATACTCTGAAAAAATCTGGGATTTCTCGAAGTGTTTACGCATACAGTTTGCCGATCGATATAATAACGGACAACAGTTTTTCTGGTTGAAAGCTTTATGAGTGAGAAAGTTGAGCTTAAAGTTGCGGAAAAATCTAATTATGGGTTTTTATTATAGAAAACATGCTTTTTTCACGAAAAAATCGGCTATCTATGATAATTAATTAAGTGATAACTTTATTTTAAATGATTTTTTCCTAATATAATGAGTGACGCATAGAAAATAACGCACCTTTGTTCTGAAATTTTTTTCGGTTATGATTCACTGGATAAAAATTTGCGTATAGGCTTTCTTGACTAAGAATTTATTTCTGTACAAAACTGACTAATTTAATTTTAAAAACAGTCTTTCTTTTTGTTTAGATTTGTAGTCAAACTTAATGGTTGTTTTCAAGAGTGTATTCCACTATTTAAGATAATTTTTAGTTTAATATAGATTATTCATTCATTCACTTAATATTTTTTTCCATTGTTATTATCAGCAATAGTTTCACTTTTATCTTCACTTTGTCCTTCACATACATTAGCCTCATGATCACCATCTGCTTGAGAATAATATGATGTCAAATTGGATAAATCCGATATTCTTATGGCTCGTTTTCCTCGTTTTTGTTTAATTAATTTCTTACGTAATTTTTTTTCATCACTCTCACTTTCATTTTGTTGAATATTTCTTAGTCTCTGTAATCTTATTGAATTATACAACGAATCTTCGTCACCTGTATCTTCATATTCTAAAAGACGTCGATGCCAATTTTTTAATATTAATGGGTTCCAGTCATAATCCAAGGCTTCTTCATCATTTAGTAATAGCAAATCTTTTTTTAACAAAGTCTCAAGTGATGAATGGGAAGAACCTAATAAAAAAAAATATGTCATTTTGATGATGCCACTTGAATCTCATTTGATTGCAATTTTTTCGTAGATATTTTCTCATCTTGTACTTACCAGATCTATTACCATTTGTATTTTTAGCTAATTCTTGTTGTTTTTTCCCTGTATTATTGGTAATTGTGTGTGACGGTGAATCGTTTAATCGTAGATTAGTGTTAAGAACATCTTGATGTTTTTTCTCTTTCTCGAGCATCACCATTTGTTTTACTTCTGTGTGAATTAAATCACTTATACCATTACCTTCATAAAAATCATCACTCATACATTCTGTTGTTACACTACGAGCAACATGTTTTGTATTTATAGCCCGATCAGGCAATGAATCGAGTTGATCTCCAGAACCCGAATCGGTTAAGGTAGGAGCCATTTTAGTTGGTGTATCCTGTTTTGATTGTTGATTATCGCCTACTTCATCTAAAAGACAAATATACATTTCCAACACCTTATTCATTTATCAGGAGGTTAGTCAGTTGTGCAACTAATAAGATCAGTAGAATGTCTCAAGCTTGATAATAATGGTTAAGATAAGCTTTTATTAAAATTTCTTTCATCAAATGCCAGTATCAATCTGATTTATGCGAACACTAGCGCTTAACGAGAAAAATTTTAATGAACGTTTAACTTAGCCCTTGATAATTTATTTTTATGGTGAACGCCACTGTGTCTGAAGTAATTCACGTAAACCTCATTTCCGGGTCATCAACTCATTCAAGTAAATAAAAGGTCAATCTAGACCAAACTTTCAAGAAATGTTAGTCTTATCAAAATATAGCTACTATAAGCTTCTCGAGGTGCCAACTACCAGGGTTTAAGAGATGAAGCCGAACATAGGTCAATATGGGGCTGTTGAAATTTCTCAGGCTATTCATCTCACACAGATCTTGCTCTATGACGTTGTAGCTCTAATTTTCCAGTAGAAAATAAAACTATCCCGAATTTTGTAGCATCTATATTAGATGAGAAATCTGAAGGAGAAACAAGCTTAAGCAAGTAGCCGTTATAAAATACGTTTTCTGGCTAAACTGTTTTGTACAAAAAAAAACAGCTGAACAATACTTTACTAGAGATGCTGAAATCGAGTGAGTATGTGTGGCATATCATTTGGCGAAGCCTAATGCTATTCTGATGGAAAAGAAAGGTTAATCCATAGGAACAAGCCTTTGTTATAGGTTATTGAATATCATGAATCTAGTTAGCATGTTTGCTGGTATGTGTATAACAATACGGACTTTCCTGTATGAAAACACGGCTATACATGCCAACAAACATGCCGATTAGATTCGTGATACTCAATAACCTATAACAAAAGCTTGTTCCTATGAATTAACTTTTCTTTTTCATATAGAATAGCATTAGGCTTCACCGAATGATGTGTCCTACATTTCTCTAGACATATTCATTTGATGCACCAAAGTGAATAACTTAAGAGTGTCGATTTTTAGCATGACCTTGAAATTAAATATTGAACATTATAAAAGATTTTAGTTTTTTCGGTAGAACTTTTGGACAACTTGCTAAAAGGTCATCAAAAAGGTGCAGAAGTTGGAATGATATCGTGTTTAGACTCACTTTTATTGATTTCATCTCGAATCTTCTCTTCATCTGCTAATACTATTAAATCTTCATGATGAATTAACACATCGTCAGATGTAGTAACTTCATGAATTGTTAAGTTGTAACCATCATTAGCAGTCGAGACATTAACATTGACACTCCGATTTTGTGATTGCGCATCAACTTTCACAACATCTCCAATCTCACCTTCTAGATTTGCTATTGATTGTTTAACATCATCAATATTGTTATATGTTAAATACGAATTCATTTTATATAAAACATTCGTTGTTTGCGATGCACATGCATCTATATGTTGTTTAATACAAAAAAATAATTGTTGACATGATTTGTTATATTTTACTCTTGAATTTTGTAATTTTTTCGCATATTTTGAAAATTTTTTTCGTTGTTTATTCATCATCGACGAATGAATACTCGATTTTAAATCATGAACAATTGTTAATTGTAACTGTCGAAATAATTTTGATCGCTGATCAATTTGTAATTGTTCATGAAGTATTGTTTCTTTTAATGTTTGCAGAGCAATTGCCAAATGCATGCCATAGCCATTTTTATCATGCGGTATAGTAGTGACAAGTAAGTGTGATGTATCGGATGTCAAATGTTTGAGTGATAGAGAATATTTAAGAAATGTTTTTTGTAAAAAATTTAAATATTTTGATAAAAAATCAATCGTAGATTTTGTCAGAGTATAGTAGGATGTCAATGCTTTTTGTTCCATACCATAAAGAAATTAGTCAAAGAAGACAGGGAGAATTGAGATTAAGAAATGAATGAGAATGTTTTAATAAATTTCTATTGGATTAAGCGCGATTTAATTATTTTTCGATTCTTATTTGTTCAAGGAAAATAGAACCATGGTTACTTCTTCATGGTTTCTTCTTTAATGAACGTATGGGAAGGACAAAGACCTCGGTCAACAGTCTATTGCCAGTTTATTAAGCTGACTAAGTGGAACGACTGAACATCGGCTTATTGCTTTTCACTTCAAGCCATGTGTTCTTTTTCTTTATCTACCATTTTTCTTCTATGTTTTCATCCATCGTTCTCCGTTGCTGGGAATTGTAGAAGATCGAGACAAAAAGTGTTAGATAGTTTCACACTGAATGTGGCACAACTCAACGTATATTCCCTCTATTTTGTGCAGACAATTCTGAAAAAGTAGTGTTTGAAAGTTGGGACTTAAAAAAATTTCCAAGTATGACATAGTTAACACGTAACGTACAGAGAAAACTCTATTGTTTCTTCTCCACTTTATCATCGACACATGCAGCAACCTATCGATGACATTTTCGTCAATTCTCATGTAATATTGTTTTCATTAGTCTTTTTTAGTTGTTCTCCTGCTGTTATGATTGCACCAACAGATAACTTTTATACGATGAAAGTAGCTTTTGTTTGTAGAACATTGTCTCGATTGATAAAATAGTACATACTCTATTATGAAATGAAAATATCTGTTGAATAATAGATGCGATAATCATTTGATAATTCAGAAGTGTTTGTAATGCATCAGATATATTCGATATTAAGTGCAGAAGGCATTCATAGGGTCGCGCGTTTCAAGTCTCACCTGACCGTGCATAGTAGATTGTTTTTTCAAACTAAGGCATGTTTGTGAGCGCATAGAAGATTATATCATGCATAGTCTTGCTATGTAAAATAAGAAATTGGTTAACTAATTAGCGAGTACTACTTTCATGTGATTTCTCATATCTTACGTGTTCACTTATCCACCATTTTTAAAAAAGAATAGAGTGGAGATGGTGATAGAACCTTATTGTCAGTATTTCACCTATTTTTTCTTTGCCACAAGTTTCGATGGTTACACTTACCTTGCATACACTCTAAAAAAAAAGCGTCGTTTACTAAACCCAAAAGGGGTTTAGCAAAATGCAATGACACGCTACCGCTTCAAAAGTTTAGTAAAAAACCCTTTTAGGGTTTAGTACGCTTACTAAAC